TTTAAAACCATACAATATTCCCTTGTTATTTACAAACAATTGCTTCTTGTTGTATGTGTGGATTTTGTATGCCTTCAAGTAAAGTTGGAAATGGATGTTCTTTTCAGTGGTATCCTATGAACCTGGAGAGAGGATGAAAGACACCCAAGCATTGAGGACTCTCCTTCATAGGGTCGCTATGAGTCGCTTGCAACTCGAAGGCCCTTAACAACAACAACAACAACAACAACAACTCAGTGGTATCCATAATGTATTCACAAAGTCAAATGTTTTTCTCTTTTTTTTTAGATGCCATTGAGTTGATTATAACAACACATTGTTGTTGTTGTTAGGTGTAGTTGAGTTGAGCACAATTCATAGCGATCCAGTGAACAAAAGATCTGAACCCTGTTCTATCCTGCACCATCCTCATACTTCCTGACACACAAGAACCCTTTGCAGTAATCATCGTGTCAATCCACCTGGTTGAGGTTCTTCCTCTCCATTGTCGACCCTCCACCCTTCTGTACATCATGTCCCTCTCCAAGAAATACCTCCTAACAACATATCCAAAGTATGTGAGGCAAATCCTCATCATTCATGCCTCCAAAGAGCACTCCAACTGCACCATCTCCAAGACATATGTGCTCATTCTCTTGGCCATCCATGAAATGTCCAGTGTTCTTCTACAACTCCACAGCTCATAGGCATCAATTATTTTTCTGTCATCTTTATTAATTGTTCAGGTCTCAGATGCATAGTTTACTAATCAGACAGACTATCGCCTGAATCAGACGCACCTTATTCTTCAAATTTACATCACTACTCCTCAATAATTTGGAAAAGTCCCTAACTGAAGATTTTCCTACTGCAATGTAACTCCTTATTTCTTGACTGCTCGTACCAAGGGTGTTAATTGTGGATTCAAGCAAGATGAAGCTATTGACAGTCTCAATTGCCTCTCCATCCATCCTGACAACACACACTAACCCTTGAAAAACAAATTGACATCTTTCCCTTTACTATGCCATTCTAAATATTTCTGCCGTGATCAAACTCATTATTATAATCACTGTATTAATCTATCTCATTGAAGGTCATCCTTTTTCCCCCTGACCCTCCACCTTTCCCAGCATGATGCCTTTTTCCAAGAATTGGCTTTTCCTGATAACATGCTCAAAGTATGTGTATTATGAAATTTCACCATTCTTGCCTCTAATTAGCACTTTGGTTACAAATCTTTAAGGCTTATTTGTCTGTTCTTTTGGTAGTCCATTGGATCTTCAATTCTTTTATCTAACACCACAAGAGAATGCTGGTGACTTAGTGGCAAAGAGTTGTGCTGCCAACCAAAAGGTACATGGTTTAGATCCACTTGATGCTCCACAGTAAAAAGATGGACATTCTCCCTTTGGGAGATTACTACCTCTGAAAACCTACTGCTACATCAACTGTGTGTCGATAATGACTTGACATCACATACCAACCAACACCAAAATTAGAGGCATCAATTTTTCTTCAGTTTTCCTATTACCTTTTACAGCTTTCAGATGCAAACAAGACAATTAAAATCTCTATGGCGTGAATCAGGCACAACATAATGTTTAAAGTGATATTCTTGCTCTTTAAAAGTTTGGAAAGGTCTTTGACAATAGTTTTCGCCAGTGCAAAGCAAGCAACACTTCTTTTTGTTTCTTGGCTACTGTTACCAAGGATGTTGATTGTGGATCCAAATAAAATGAAGCCATTAATATCTTAAATATTTTCTCGAACTATCATGATGTTGCCTACTGATCCAGTGGTGAGGATTTTTGTTTTCTTGATACTGAGATGAAATCACATTGAAAATTGTAGTCTTTGATCTTATTCAGTAGGTGCTTGAAATCTTCTTCACTTTCTCCAAGCAAAATTGTATTAACTACATAACACAAGTTGTTCATGAGTCTTCTTCCAATCCTAATGCTACATTCTTCTTCAAATAGGCCACCTTCCCAAATTATTTACTCAGCATACAGATTGAATAGGTATGGAGAAAGGATACAACCCTGATGCACACTTTGCTGATTTTAAACCATGCAGTATTCCCATATGCTGTTTGGACAGCTGCTTCTTGGATTAGCATGAGTTTAGCATGAGTCCAATTTAGTGTTCTGGAATTACCATTCTTTTCAATATTATCTATAATTTTTTATGATCCATATATCCAAATGCCTTTGTAGAATCAATAAAACACAAACAAGCATTTTTCTGGTATATAATGCTTTCAACTTTGATCAGCCGTCAGCAGTACTGTTTTTCATATCATGATCTCTTCTGAATCCATCTTGAATTTCCAGTAGTTCTATGTCAAAGTACTATTTTGACTACTTTTTAGTATTCTTCAGCAAGATTTTCATTGCCTGTGACAGTAATGATACTGTTTGATAGTTTCTACACTCTGTTGGATCGCCTTTGTGGAAATGAAAACAAATATGATTCTCTTCCAGTCAATTGGCCAGGTAACTAGTTGTCCTCCCGATTTCTTGGTAGAGGCTTTCTTGTGGGCCTAGGGCTATATCTGCTTGTTGAAATACCTTCATTGATATTATATAAGTTCCTAGGGCCTTGTTTTTGGCCAATCCTAGTGCATCTTGAACTTCTTCCTTCATCACTATTGGTTCTTAATCAGATGCTTCTTCCTAAAATGGATTAGTGTCAACCAATTCTTTTCGGTACAGTAATTCTATGTAGTTTTCCATCTTCTCTTTATGCTTCCTACATTATTCATTATTGAAACCCAAGGCTTGAATTTGTTCTTTGGTTATTTTACTTCTGAAATCCTAAGTGTGTTTATTCATTTTGGTTTTCTAATTCCAGCTCTTTGCATGTTCTCTTTTTTTAACTTTTTTATTGAGATTTTAATGAAAGGTTATAGATAACTTGTATTTCCATTCACTCATTGTTGCACATTTTCCTCTCTGTCCACTCCTCCCCCAAATAACTTTTCTCATTTTTGTACAATCCCCCCTCCCACCCCCCGTCCACTTTACTATGCAGCTCTTATTCAGGACTGTTGTCATACAAATAATACCTTATCATGTATTCCTTTTAAGCAGCTCTATTCCTCATCTATTTCAATACAGTGTACATTATTTATCCCTCTTAATTTCTCCCCAACCCCCATGTCAGTCCTATTTATAATAGTGGCATTATTCAGTATTTGTCCTTTTATGATTGAGATATTTTTCTCAGGAAATGTCCTCTAGGGACACCCGTTTTGTAGAATATTTCATGAGTTCCTTATTTTTCAGTGCTGTATAGTATTCCATTGTGTGACTATACCAGAGCTTCTCTATTAATTATTTGTTGTTGGGCATTTGGGTTGTTTCCATATCTTTGCTATTGTGAACAACACAGCAATAAATATGTGTGTGCATATATCTGCTTGGGTGGCAGTTCTGATTTCTTTAGGGTATGCTTTGCCTTTTCAAGTTGTGCTTTTAAATCTTCTCTGCAACTCTCTTTCTTCAGTATTTCATCCCTTTGTTTTGGCTTCTTTACCTTTTAATGTAAGTTTCAGAATTTTATTTTGGATGTTCCTATCTTTCTAATGAACCTTTTGGTTTCTTTATGGATATTTTTTAATTTTTATTGTATTGTTTTTACGTGTACCGTCAAATCAGATCTGAGTGGTACAGGAGGAGATTGTCCCCTCCTTCTCCAGCAGAGCATCTGGTGGATTTGAACCACGTACTTCTGGGATTGCAGTGCAGCGTCTTGCCACTAGGCCACCAGAGCTCCCTTTCTTTATGGATATTTACTTTGATGTCAATGCTTTTGGTTTAGTTTGCCAACAAGATTCACAGGATTAGCATATAGTCATACTCATGGCTAAGATTTATTACAGCAGAAGGATACAAATTAAAATCGGTAGAAGGAAAAGTTCCATGGTGGTAAGTCTGAAAGAAGCCAGGCACAAGCTTCCAAGAGTACTATCACAGCGGAATTGCACAGAGTGTGCTGAACTCCTCTCTCAGTGAGTTATTACAATGCATGTGAAATGTCTCCTACTAGGAAAACTCATTAGTGTCTAGGGCTTATATTAGAGGATAGTCACATTGGCTCTCTCTGCTAAGCATATGCCAACATTCTAAACTCCCAAAGGAAATGCAGTCAAATACAAGTCACAATGTTTGTACAAATAATATAGCACAATCAGTCATGATTATTAGTAAGCATTATGAGAATCTGGCTAAAATCCAGGTTCTCAGGAGCTAACCCAAGTGCCAGCCTCACAAACAAGCCTTTTAAAAACTAGCCGTTTAAGTCTGTTAATTTTTTTCTGACAACTTATTCATCATAGTTAACTCTACAATGGAAGCTCTTGTTTAGGGGATTCATCCCACTAGAAAGTATCCTTCACTCACTCTCTGTCATCAAGTTGGAAACAATTTATAGCTGACCCTCCAGCGAGTTTTTAGAGGAAATAAATGACATTGGAGGAAATCGTCCTTCTGTCTTTCATGGAAGAGCTGGTAGATTTGAACCGCCTGTCTTTGGATGGGTAGTACAACTCCCTACCCACTAAGCTACCAGAGTTCCCTAGAAAGTATTTTTAGAGATTTAAAGTATGTCAGCCATATATACCTGATCAATCACTTATCATTTCAGTAAAACAGACAGGTAATTTTTAATAAAGGAATGTAGTAAAATTACAATCATAAGTTTAAAGGTTTTAAAAATTATTTTATATTGGTTTCCTTATAAGTTCATAGATAGATAGATAGATAGATAGATAGATAGATATAGATTATGTTTCACACTGTCCTTCAGTTACATTATATTTTGTACAATCATTCCCATGTATTTTGTTTTATAATATAAATCACCCTTGGACTGTGCCCATCATTACACTGTCTTTTCAGGTCAGTTTTAATTTTTTAAAGTATTTTAAGTTTACTAGTAAAATTAAAATTCTTGGAATAAAATTGCTAATTCTTTTTAATGGAGAAAGGCATTATATATTCACTCTTTTCTTTTAGCCTAAGAAAACTGTCAAGGTAAAACCTCATCCACCTATGGGTCCTCGACCTTCTGGTGGTTCCACTGCAGCAGCTCACCACAGATTGCTGAAGGTTCTCCCCCACATTGGGCAGTCTTGCTTATCTTCTTCTGGAAATGCACATGTACCTGCAACTCCCAAGAATGCACCTTCAAATTTGGCAGCTCTGCTCCCTGCTGATAGATCCTTACCATCTATCACTAGTGTTATTCTCAAGGAGGATAATAACTGGGAGAGTAACAGAGTGTCTCATTACAATAATAACATCAAACTACCATCTCAGATATCTCACGTGAAGGTAAAAAATGACGAAGAGCTTACTGAGTCTGCCATCCATAGTGGATCGTCCATGCCGAGGCGGACAGAAAACTTTTCAGGAAGATTGACATCTAACCATGAAGACAATACTGTCTTATTTCCAGAGCAGTGTGTTCCTGAAGAATCCCCTCGACCTAAAGTGGGTTCAGTTGCTTCGTTATCAGAAGGGAATTCTGATGAACGGAGAAGTGGCTTAGAAGGTCTACAGAAGGTAAATCCAGACTTCTTACTCACAAATGGAGAAAAAGGGCTGAAAACTACAGAACAGTGCCTTAAACAGGTTACAAAACCGCTGAGTGGGGAGGCTGTAGAAACTACACCTCTTAACCATCGTGAATTAAATCCTTACAAAAAAAGACTCTTGTCTCCCCTTCCCTGTTCTGTGCCAATGTCACTAACAAATTCTCTGGTGAAACCACAGAGACAGTCCAAACATTTTGAGTCTGAGCGTCTCCAATCTTCTCCACAAAATATGCCCCAATCATTGGCCATTCATAATATAAATGACTCGCCTTTCTCTAGGACTACTTGCTTTCGAGGTGTTAAAGTTGATTCACCTGGAAAAAGATCTGATATTATTTCTAAAGTTGAGGTGCAAGATACCACAGAAATGGCTAACAAAGCTTCGAAAGAGCCTGTTGGTTGTGTAAATAATACAGGTTTTCTAACTTCACTGGCCCGGAGCTCAAGCGGAGACAGTTTACAGAACACATACGGAACAGGCAAACCTCGGGCTTCTGGAATTGGGTTCTCTACAAACCTCCAGCATTTTCAGGAAGAAAGACATAGAAAAAGCTCTCCCCAGTTAGAGTCTACAGATTTTTTCCTAGTAAGTGCCTTTCAACATGCTTCGTTAGTTACCATTATGCTAACTCAATATTCTTAGAGCTATATCTATATCTATCTATCTAGTTGTTGTTGTTGTTGTTATGTGCCGTCGAGTCGCCTGCGACTCATACCGACCCTATGTACAACAGCGCTAAACTCTGCTCTGTCCTGTGCCAATCTCACTGTCTCTGACACTCCCATCCCAATTATCCCAGTCACTGAATCAATCCACTTCATAGAGGGCCTTCTCCTCTTGCGCTGTCCCTCCACCCTCCCAAGCATGATGTCCCTCTCTAAGGACCGGTCTCTCCTCACAACATGTCCAAAGTATGTTAG